TTGTCTTATCTTTCAGCTGAGCGAGAGTAGTTTTGTGGCGGCGTTGCCTCCAAGCATAATCCTGAAGGCCACTCAGGTGCGTAAGTACATAAGGGAGAAAAAAGAGAACAAAGCACAGACTTGTCTCATGTCTCCTCTGTGTTTCCTCTGTTTCACTACGCATACTTGGCCGCTTCGGCGGCCATCTATCGGCCTCAAGGTGCCGCACCGAATGGTAAGCTATGTGTGTACCATCTCTACTTCATTTACATACTGTGTTGTCTTCGTGGCTGCAGCACGCCATGGAGCAGTACTTGTCCAACAAGGATCACCCGCACGTGGCGCAGCTCTCTCTGCGAGGAGGTCATCGAGGTGCGGGAGGCCGCCGTCAAGACATGGCTCAAGAAGCAGACCCATCACATGCCTGCCAGGTGAATGAGAGGATCAACCCGCCACAGAAAGGCCTTCAAAACATGTGTGCCACACACACATACATCTGTCGCACGTGTGTGTCTGCAGAGGCGGTCAAGGGGGCGTTTCGCGAGCTGCAGATGCTCGACCACATGCGCCGCAGCCCCGCCCTCACCTCAAAGCTGCCCTCGCCAGCCCCGGTCGACGCCCTCGACCACCTCACACGGTTGGTGGGCGGCAGGTTTCATGAGAGGCCGTGCGCCCTCATCTGCCGCCACCAGCTGCTGGAGGCGGTGCGGGAGCACATGGCCAGCGAGGCTGCCCCTCAACCCGCCCGCACCACCAGCTCAGGGTCGTGGCCGCCCTGCCGCGTCGTCTAAGCCCATCCCGTGCTTATACCTGCCAGCCCCCCCTGCGACCGAGGCCGAGGAGGTCAGGAAGGAAGCGAACAGACGAGAAGGAGGGCGGCCTGGGGTTGCCGGGTGTGGAGCAGAGCGAGATGCAGGTGCACGGGGTCATCGAAGAGGCCCTCGAGGAGCTGGTGGAGCCCCCCATACACGAGGAGGAGGCCGCCCGAGAGGCCGCCATACCGGCACAGCCTGCCGTAGTCACGAGTGAGGTGGAGGTCAAGGTGGCCGCATTCGAGGAGGAGGCGCCGCCCATGCTGCTGCCACCAGCTGAGGGGGAGAGGGAGGGCGAGAGAGAGAGACCGACGAGAGAAGAGCAGAAACCCGCCCGACTCGTCCGTCGTCCGTCTCATATTTCGTCTTTTCTCAGCATTGTTGGCCTCTCCCCGCCATCGATGACGCCGTACAACCTCAACTCGACGGCCACGTAGAGCAGCGACACCGTACATGGTGAGACCTCACGCCCCCAACTGCACCAACGGCTTCCCCCAGGGCTACGGATCATATGAGGACCAGGTAATACTGCATGTGTGTATGTATGTGATGGGCGCCATGCCATTGTCTCTGTATGTGTGTGTGTGTCTGTGTACCTGCAGGGCGTCCGGGCCCCCCACTTCCGGAGGGGAGCAGTCAGACACACACAGACACTCACTCCGTGGCAGCATCCATGTGTGCTGTTGGTTCAGACCAACGATGTTGAGTTCAAGAATTGTTACGACGGACGGACGACGGCCGAGCAGCGCCTCTTCGATCAGGCGTTGGTGAAGATAGACAAGGGGCGGTATAAGGCCGCGAAAAAGTTCTTCAGACAGAAGTGGAAGAAGGTGACTGACGGCACCGACCCAAACACGGCAACACAACCCGAATGCACGTGTGCGTGTGTGTGTGTGTGTGTGTGTGCAGGAGGAGCAGTCGTTAGAGGAACTCAGGGAGCACATCTGGCCGACCGAGGCCGACGATGCCGAGCTGCGCGCCCAGCACCAGCAGTGGCAGCAGTTGCCGGACAAGATAGAGGACGAGATAGAGGCCAAGACGACCCTCAACGACTACCTCATCACGCTCAAGACAGCAAACGTCAAGAAGCTCAAGAGACACATTGGCTACTCGGGGGAGGGCAACTTGTCAAGCTGCCGCCATCGTGCCGACTTCCGCGTGAAAAGGTGCGGAGGAAAGACCGAGGCGCGGCAATTTCTTAAGTCGTCCGCTTTGTGTCTCAATCGGGTGTGCGGCGATCCATCGCCGCCTACATTTTATATCTGTGGGTCCCTTGTTTTATACCCGTCGTGTGCCTTACCCCGTCGTGTGCGCGCGGCGTGTAAGCAGTCTAAATATACAAATCAGGCCCCGTGATAGGGCCTCTTGTCTGTGTGTGCAGATGGATCGCTGTCTACGTTTTATATTTGTGGGCCTCTCCTACCCCATTGACGCCGGCTGGTGTGCATGGACCGCATAATGACATCTCGGCGGCCCCAAAGGGCAGTCAGTGAAGGCCTAAATGCTAAAGGAAGAGGCTCATGAACATTCGCTGGTGTCTCTTCTCCGTCTGTTCCCTTCTCTGTCAGGTTCTTGACCTCAAGAGCTTGTACGAACTATGGCCGAGGGCGTTACACACTTACAGATGAGCAGCAATTGGCGGCTGTTGTTAACAGTGCGCACGCGTGTGGATGGAGTTTTCTCTGAGTTACCCCGCCACCAGCTCGCGCCAACCCACCCCACAGGTGATCGGTGCATGTTGGTGGCGAGCGGCTGGTGATGACCTGGCAGGTACTGTTTGCCGGATAGAGAGACGTCAATGTCAGACTGTTCTGCACTTCTGGCATTGTGTGCTCAGGTCGATTGCTGCTCTTGTACTCGTCAAGGCAACAGGGTCAAGCAATCTAAGTCCTCTTCTGGGTCCGCGGAGGACTTCAAGGAGGTGCAGAGGACGACAAGGAAGGGCTGGGGCTGACACATGTGCCCATGGTGGCCGCACTGGAGTATCTCAAGTTGGCGGTATGTATGTCACACACACACCTCCCTCCCCGCACACCGCACCGATGGTTGCATGGCATGCATTGATCATTGATTGATTGATTGGTCTTGGTGTGGTGTGTGTGGATTGATTGCATTCAATCAACACATCAGGTTGATAGTGTGCAGCACCTCCATGGCATCCACTTTCTCAACAACGACCAGGAAGTCGACAACCGTAAGCCGCACACACACCCACTTACTGCACACACGCATCGCATCACCTGATGACACACACGAGAAATGCCATGCGTGTGTATCCGTATCGTATCTCCTTTCGTCCGTCCATCCATGTGTGTGTTCAGACCTGCTCCCCTTCACGGGCCCCATGCGCGTCCAGCAAAGGCGACGTCAGCCGCGCCGAGCCCTTCAACCCGCCCCCCGACGGCAACCGCCGGTTCGTAGGCCGCAAGGCCTCCATCCACGGCACCGTCATGTACTCGTCGGCGGCGCGGCCGAGGGGCGGCGAAGGCTCGCCCAGGTACACACATTCACACATACACACAATACACACACATATACACACATCCCCGTGGAGTGAGTGGACAACCATTCTGTCTGTCTGGCTGGCTGTCTGGCTGGCTGGCTGTCTGTCTGTGTGTCTGTCTGTCTGCAGCGATGACATCGAGGCGGCGCTCTGCACGGCCATGAGGATGCGCGCCAAGCTGCCCGCCGAGTGGTACGCCAAGGCCGAGGAGGTCACCGACGTGCTGGACCACCACTGGCACACGCAAGACATCCCCGTGTGTGACGAGGTCTGCGAGGAAATGATCCAGACCCGACAGGCCGCTGTGGACAAGTGGCTGACCGAGCAGACCAACCAGATGCCCGGTGAGTGGCGACGGACGTCTGAAACACCCATCCATCCATCCATCCATCATGTGTGTGTGTAAGAGGGAGGCGAGCTGCGCGATGCCATGGATGTGCGGGGATCGACGCTCCGCATTGAGACTGGCTGTTCTCAGGAGGACGTCGACCGCATCGCGAGCATCCGTGCCGACCCTGCCCGCGCCCACATCATCAAGTCCGCCGAGGCCGACCCCGAGACCGAGGCCGACCTCCACCACGTTGACATGTGTAGCGGGTTGCACAAGGTGCTGTACCTGCAGGGCGGGGAGGTGATGAACACCTATGTGACAGCGGCCCGGCACGAGATGCTGGAGGCCGCCCGCAGGGGGAAGGAGGGCGAGCCGGTGGGAGGAGAGCTCGACAGAGACACGACAATGTCAGATTGTCTTGCGTGTGTGGTGGTATTGTGTGCTTGTAGGTGCATTGCTGCTTACATTTTATATTATCAGTGAACTTGTCAATCTGCCTCCATCGTGCCGACGTTTGCCTGAGAAGGTGCCGGGAGAGACCGAGAGATATCTTTCCTTTGTCATTGTGTCTCAATTTCATTTCAGGTGTGCCGGCGATCCATCGCCGCCTGCATTTTATATTCGCGAATTCCTTCATCCACCTCCACATGTGCAGCCAGCAGCGTCATTCCTGGACTCCTTGGTTCGTCAGGGAGAGGCGGAAAGGCTGCAGCGCGTCAGCAGCGGCCAGCAGGCACGACACACATACACACAGGCAGCACCAGCAGCAGGCAGCCAGCAGCAGCGGCATGGAGGAGGACACGGACGACCAGCACTTCCAAGTGCTCGGTGTGAGTAGGGACGCCGACCTTGCCACCATCACGGCAGCATACCGACACCTGGGTAACCGACAGGGAAGTATGCATGCATTCTGTCATATCCATCCTTGGTCTCCCGCCTTGTTTTGTTGGTTTCGTCAGCGCTCCTCCGGCACCCGGACAAGCCTGGCGGCACCACGTGAGCAAGAGCAGGCACAGACACTCACGTGTCCTCACCTCGGTGGATCTATTTGATCAGGCAAGCGTTTCAGCAGCTGTTGAGGGTTCGCCGGGAGGAGCTGTTGTGGTGGCAGGAGGCCAACAACGACGAGCCGGTACGCACACGCACACACACTGCCCGACGAGTGGGCCGTGCCGTGACGGGATGTATGTGTGTGAGGGGTCTTGAGAGAGAGAGAAAGAGAGGAGAGCGGAATCATGTGTTCACCATGTTCACCATGTTCACCATGGTGCATGCCTCGTACTACCTGGCTGTTTTGCATTTGTCGCCATTATGAGTTTCCGCCCAACGAGGGCCGTGAGTGTGATGATGTGTCCGTCTGTGTGCGCGGGGTCTTTTTCGAGAAAGAAGCGCATGCAATCAATATACCCAGAGAGAGAGGGAGAGGGGGAGAGAGAGCCAATGGCGGTTTTAGTGGTTGAATGGTCTGCTTTAGTCAGTTTCTCGACACGTTTGTACGCGAATGAGAGGACAGAAGCGCAGCCCATCAGAAGGCGCGAGAGAAAACAGAGTAGCCCACTAGATGGCGTCGTGAGCACATTCCTTTGCGGCCATCCTCACACACACAGCACTACAGTAAGAACATGACACACACATACAGATACACAGAGAGGCCTGTGTCGTTTGTGTTCTCAGGCAGCCCGGTCCGCCACACAGTGGCAATGGTGGCGAGGTGTGCGCCACACCATACCAACCTCTCGACACTGCGTAAGAAGGGCTACCACACCCGCACCCCCACACCACACCAGCGCATGTGTGCCAGGGTCCATGTTCGTATGTGAATTAATTATCGTGTTCAGGATGGTGGGCGGGGAGGTGATGAACGGCTATGTGATAGCGGCCCGGTACGAGCTGCTGGAGGCCGCCCGCAGGGGGAAGGAGGGCGAGAAGGTGCAAGAGGGAGGGGGGGAGGACGAGGGCGAGCTGCTGGGCCACAGGCGCTCTCCCTCCCCCACTGCACATGCCCCGTCCCTCCCATGCCCACAACTGCCGCCCCCGCCGCTCCCGACTGACGAGCAGGAGGCCGACGAGCAGCAGCAGGAGCAGGGCACCGGGCAGGCCAAGATCAACCCGCCACAGAAGAAGCGCCTCAAAAGTCAGGTACTGTTTGTCTTTGGCAGAGACAGTGAGACACGACGATATCAGATTGTCTTGCGTATGTGGTGGTATTGTGTGCTTGTAGGTGCATTGCTGCTTACATTTTATATTATCAGTGAACTTTTCAATCTGCCTCCATCGTGCCGACGTTTGCCTGAGAAGGTGCGGGGAGAGACCGAGAAATATCTTTCCTTTGTCATTGTGTCTCAATTTCATTTCAGGTGTGCCGGCGATCCATCGCCGCCTGCATTTTATATTCGCGAATTCCTTCGTCCGCCTCCACATGTGCAGCCAGCAGCCTCATTCCTGGCGCGAGAAGGTGTGAGGGAGGCGAGCTGCTCGATGCCATTGTTGATGACGATGTTGATGATGTCGAGGCCGAAGCAGCGAACAGAGAATTGTCACTCGCCGCCTACATGGCTCATGCACGGAACATGTGTGCCTTCGCTTCATCGACATGTATACAAGGGAGTTGCGCAGCCAAGTGTCGTCGACTCACACTCATGAATTGTCCCACACACGTCGGGGCACACACTCACCGCACACCACCGCCGGCAACACGACAGAGACACAGTCAGGCAGGGGTCACGCCCAGGTCATTTGTCTGTTCTGGACCTCTCCCGCCAGCCGCAGCAAATCGCCTGACGCCGTCAGACTGATTTCAAAGACACGCACACACACACAAACACAGACAGACAGACAGACAGAGACACAGACGTTGACCCATGTCGGCGGGCACGTTGACGGGTGCGTGCCCCCCTCCCCACGGCAGCTCACATTCTGTGTAGGGTCCCTCTGCCGACCAGGTCCTGAATGTGGAATGTCACGCCGAGCTGCGACTGCTTCGAGGGCTTCTGCCGCACCTCAAGCTCCAACATCTCCTTGAACCGACACCTATAGACACACACACAGATAATGACCACATTCATTCACTCGATCATGAGTGCATGTCCGTGTTTTGGTGGCTGCGTGTGTCGACACCTTCTGATCCCAGACGACGGGTTGCGGACATCGGCGCACCTGGATTCCACGACAAGAGGATCCGCTGGTCAGCTGAGGGAACTGGCAACCTCCCCAAGCTCTTAAGAAGCTCCTCGGCACGCCACTCATCATGCCATCGCCCATTGTCTCGGCGCCAGCATTGGCATCCTTTTCTTGCGCGGAGCATCGAATCCATCGAATCTCGCGACTGCTGCCATGGCTGTTTGTGGTGTGTCATGGTGGTCATGGTCCTGCAAAGAACTCCACCGCCCGCGCCAGGCAACTCGCCGCGAGAAAGCTAGGGATCGCATGTGAGCTCGCCGTCGGGGAACGGGTGCTGATACAGCTAATTAGGCGATGAGCTCTGGGAGGAGCCGCTGACCCACGCTCTCCGATAGAAACATCGGCTCATCCACTCCCCGATTGGTAAGCAGTGAAAAACGCGTGAACGAACGGGAAGCGCTTCCTTCAGTGTGTGTGTGTGTGTGGTGGCATGTGTGCAGCTATGATGCGTCGGCGGGCGATTTGAGCTCGACGGAGGGGCGGACCACCGTCATTACACAGGGTGCGCACACACACAGAGTGGCACGTGCATCTCCCCTTTGTCCTCCTCTTGTCAGGCGTGGTCGCGCGGCGCCATGAGATCAGCCTCATCGGATGCTGCTTCTCAGGCCTCGCCGGAGGTGAAATCAAGCCCAGCCCTCACTCGACCATTCATTCATTCGTTCATTTATTCGTCTCATCAGTTGATGTACTGCCGTAGCCCTCGTTACCGGGAGGGCACTCGTGTGCTCATGGTGTCGGCCAAGCGGGAGAAGGGCAGACAGCAGTGGGTCAAGGCGGATGTGTATCGCATCAGGGAGACCAGTGGGGCGATGGGACTGCGGATGCGGGAAGTCGGCGGCCTCCATGAGGAGTTTTACATGGTGGTCATTAAGGAGAGCAAGACATCACCACATGCCCAACAGGTGGGTGCTTCCACCACAACGACAAACGTATGGATGGGTCGAGCAACTCTCTGCGTGTGTACGTGTGTGTATGTGGGCTGGGCTGGGCTGTGTGTGCAGGAGTATGAGGGATTCCGGTGGGTTGGCAAGAAACCGGTGCATCAGGATCACGGCAGCACGGTACACACAACCACACATCAGACACGAATACCACACCTCTCATGCCGCCTGATCTCCCTTTGTTGCTGTGCAGGAGTGCTATGAGGTGACGATACGCAGGAGCTGGAAGGCCAAGGAGAGCGACGGGCAGCAGATCTCTCTGTCCAAGGGCACCAGGGTGCGCATCCGCGAGCGCCACAGCTCGGGATGGACCCTGGGTCAGGTCGTCAAGCCAGACGACACTGTCGACGACGGACCTCAAGGATTCGGCTGGTTCCCCGACAAGCTCACCCACCTTCGCCCCACACCCGCCATGACGACGCCAGCAAACAAGAAACAACAGACACGGCAGGTAGAGCAGATGCACACAACACAACACAACACAACACAGCACAGCACAGGGCATGGTGTGATGTCACCCCCTCCTTTGCTTTTGTTTCTGTTTAGGTCCCTGATGAGTTCAGCGACGACCACCTAGCCTCCGTGTTCAGCTTCATGGCCCCTCGTGAGCTGTCGACACTCTTCTCACCCCGCTGCCCCATCCGCACTCCAACGCTTCACCAGCAGACCCACGTCACAATCGACTGCAGCACGGATGCCGACCACCGTTTCTGGAGCAAGACGACCAGCAGAGGGGCATTCCAGCTGGGCAAGCTGCTCGTCACCCTGACAGCGGTCAGCATCGTGCAGTCGCGCGACGATAGGTGGTGGTGTCTGGACAAGCTGATGGCTTTGGTGGAGGGGCACGCGGCGGGGCGTCAGCAGATGGCTGAGGGCAGTCTGGAGACCATCGTATTCACCACAGCCAGGAGACAGACTGCGCGCCGCCCGGCGCCCCTTCCATGCCTCCCGACCCCTCATTTCCTCCCCTCAACCCCGACACTCCCAGCCCTCAAGAGTGTCACAGGAGCCGCCAGAGAGCACCGTTTGCTGGCCGGTAGGGGTGGCTGATGGCTGCGCTCGAGACGGTCGAGCAGGAGGAGTGGGATGCAGATGTGCTGGGGCGATTCATCAGCTCCTCACGCTCGTTGAAGCACGTCGGGGGGGCTCGGAGGGACGAGGCGTGGGCGACGGCCTTTGAGCAGATGCATGCGGGGTCCCTGAGACAGCTGCAGAGCATCGGGGTGGTCAAGCTCAACAGCCATCTCGGGATCCAGCGGCTCCAGGTACCCATCACACACACTCACATGTTGGGCAGGCCCCATTGTGCACGGGTGGTACCTGTCATGTCCTTTTGTTTGCTTTTAGGTTGCACTCACCTCGCGTGGCTGTGTGAAGTCCCTCAACAGACTCGAGGTTCAGATTCCAGGGGTCCTCTTCGACGGTGACATTGGCGACCTGCTGGCAATGGACACCCTGATCGACTCGTGCTGTGAGTCGCCCGACGTGGTGCGCACTCGGGGGAGGCTCTGCAGCTTCGAGCTGTCCCACTTCTACTCTGACGACTTCCCCGCTCACGCATCCCCCTTTTTCAAGACAGCCATCAAGACGGCGGCGTGCTGCGCAGACGAGGTGATCTACACGATAGGCCCGAATGACTTCACCCACCCCATTGACACCCCCAGCGAGGCGGCCATCGAGATCGCATCGAGTCTCTCATTCGACAAGGTGGAGCTCGTGAGGGTCGACAATGCCATTTTCTTCGCCCTCCCTGCCGGCACCGGCTCGCCGGTCCCTGACATCATCAACCACCTGCCGCACTTCCCAAGGGCAAGAGTGCTGCATGTCAACGGCCGTCTGGGCGGCGCTGCGGGCCGGCTGCTGGCGCAGAAGATGCCCATGGAGGTGGTGAAGGTGGCGTTCGGCAGACATGTGATTGCAGAGGACAGGAGGGGCGTGCTGGAGGCGCTGGGGGCGCGGAGGCAGATGGCCAAGGTCTGTGTGGGTGAAGATCCGTGGGGTGCGGTCGACCCCTTTGACGGCTGGGGGTCGAATAGCCTCCCAGCGATTCACGAGATGTTCTTATCAGGTATGCGGGAGTATGGTGAGTGCAGGAAGGTGCTTGTTGGTCCATTTTGTATGTGCATCCGCTTTGTCTATGTGTCGTCATTCAGTGCCCAATGGGTTGGGGGATGCTGCTGCCGCCAACCTCATCCACGAAGGCCTGTCGACTCTGCTCAACGGTGGCATGCGGGGCCTGAGACGTGTGGAGGTGCGGGTGCGGCTGGGAGTGCATGACGCCCTTGGCGATGCCATTCAGCATGGCACGAGCATCGGCGACTTCACCATCCAGCATCGGCGCAGTGGCAACTCGTGGCTCTTGACGGGTGAGATGGAATTTCACTTCAATATACGTGTGTGTGCGTGTGTGTGTGTTGTGTGTGTGGTCAGGCTGTCTGTCGAGTCACACACAAGACAACAAGACATCACCATGAAGAAGGTGTGCCTTCGCCATGGCTGGTGTGGTGGGGTTTCTGCTGACATCTGTCTGTGTTGTGCCACACATTGCGGCAACTGGCTTGGTTGAGTGTCTTCACTACACGCCCATCCATCCATCCATCCATCCATCCAAGCCCTCACACGTGCGTGTGCTGTACACAAAGAGTGGACGTATGGACGAGAGGGAGAGAGAGGATGCTCTGTGTGTTGATGATACGTGTGTGTGTGTTGGAACCTGCCCCCTGGTTTGCTCCCTCCCTCGTCAGACAGTCCTCACTCTCACTGCCAATAAAACCAGTGAGGAGACCCACATGCAGCGGGATCAGACACTCAGCTTGTGGGCTGCCCAATTCTTTTGGAGGGACGTCGCAGGCCAGCCACGGAGTGACCAAATGGACTGCTCGATGGACTGATGAAAAGACGCATTCATGGACGTATGTACAGCCAATGTCACTCATGAATTGTCCACTCACACGTCCACTGGCAGCCACACGGCTGACACACTCAGTCAGGGGTCAGGCCCAGGTCATTTGTCTGTTCTGAACCTCTCCCGCCAGCCGCAGCAAATCGCCAGACGTCGTCGGACTGATCTCAAAGACACGCACACACACACAAACAGAGACAGACAGACAGACAGACAGACAGAGACACAGACGTTGACCCATGTCGGCGGGCACGTTGACGGGTGCGTGCCCCCCTCCCCACGGCAGCTCACATTCTGTGTAGGGTCCCTCTGCCGACCAGGTCCTGAATGTGGAATGCCATGCCGAGCTGCGACTGCTTTAAGGGCTTCTGACGCACCTCAAGCTCCAATATCTCCTTGAACCGACATCTGCACGCCCAAACAGATGATGATCACATTCCCCCGTGAGTGCCCGTGCGTGTGATGTTGGTTGTCTGCGTGTGTCCACACCTTCTGAATCGTGTGAGCAGCTCATTTCGTCCCTTGGTCAGCCACCCTACGAACGCCCCCAACCTGGGCAGTGTCCACCCGTATTTGGTGCTGTCGACAGCCTTCAGGAAGCCCAGACGGAACAGCAAAGACACGACCGCATCCACTTTGTCGCCGTGGGCATCACCCAGGAACTCCTCCAGGAGTGAGTGCATGTCGTCCTTGGCGATGTTGAAGTGACTGTGGAAGCGAAATACGCGCTCGTCCAGCCAGGTGGCCAACTGCTCAAATGACGCGGCATCGAGGGGCGGCGGGGGTGAGGACGCCAGCTGCCTGTAGGCCTGAAATTGACTCCTCATGGCCGCCAGCAGGTCTTGAGTAAAAACGACGGCCATGTCGCCCTCAGACAACGGCAGCCGGATCTGGCGCAGCTCGGCCCTTGACAGCATCACCTCAATCTCTGCGGAAACGACCTCAGACCACATCAGATGCAGAAATCCATATGTCCCCATCCCACGTCAGCCGCTCACCTCTGTCAGTCTGTGTCTTGTCGGCATCTCCCATGGCGTACAGCTGGTGACGCAGCAGGACCGGCACACAGAAGCCGCACTGCTGAGGGAACTGCGCCCGCAGCACGAGCAGTGCTTGGAATGTGCGGCAGGGCGGCGAGATCTTGGGATGGATGGGCGGCAGGGATGAGGCGAGAGCAGCCGCTGACGCACCGTCATCGTTGATGCCGTCACATTGCTCACCCGAATCAGCTATCCAAACAAACCAGATCATCAGATCTTCCGTGGACCAGTTCTTTTCGTTTATTCGCTGCCCATCTTTCTATACCTGAAGCGCTCATCGTTCACCTTTCCCTTCGCTGCACTTCCACATTCGTCGGCATGTGAGCTTCAAGCTCGCAATTTCAGCGATAATCATCCTTCCTCCGCACCACCACCAGCACCACCAACAAGTAGCAGTGACAGCAGCAGCAGCGAAGGCAGCAGAAGGCAGCCACACCGCACCCCACCCCACTCCGACACACAGGACGCCTGAGGCGGACGTCACGACGAGGGCGCCATGGAGGACGAGGTGCGTGCAGAAGGCATGCAATGGACTGCACTCACCTTCGTTTCTTGACGATGAATGCGGATTGGTTTTCTCTCTTTGCCTGCAGGCCGCCAGCATGGCGGTGTTGGCGCACGTGCGGGAGGGCTGCAGCAGGGAGCGGCGGTACCTGCTGCAGCTCTCCACCTCACCCCGCCACCACAACGGCCCTGCCACAGCTGTCAGAGTGCGCGCCGCCCCGCCCAGTACCCAAGCTGGCCCAGACCAGTGCGACGACTATCGCATACTCAGCGAGGGCGGCGCCACGGCCGCGGCGGGGCCGAACGATGAGGTGGGGGTGGTGGTGATTGCGCCGCTGCTCGAGGGGACGGGAGAGGAGATGCGGCGGGCGGCCAAGATGAGGAGGGAGCTGGGGTCGGCGGAGGCGATGATGAGGGCAGACGACGCCGTCCAGCCCGACGATCGCCGCCTGGATGTCACCGGCTTCGACCGGTATGACAAGCTGGCGCGGCTGACGCACCTCGAGGGCGGGCGGCTCGTCACCACCTATGCCTTCGTCGTAGGCGAGGAGCTCCTCAAGGGGGTGCGGAACGCCACAGGTACCTAGGCACACAGACAGAGCCCAGCCAGCCCACCACAATACATGCGAAAAGCAGGTTGTGTTAGGTTGATCCATGCCATGGATCCATGCGCTGGTGTCTGTCTGTGTGTGTGTGTGGGTATGATCTGATCCAGTTTGCGAGCAGCGGTATCGTGAGAAGCAGATGCGTATGCGTCGTGTGTTGTTCGACGCGTGGCGGAAGTGGGCAGCCGAGAGGTCTTCCGCCAGGGACCAGGGGGCCCGGGACATGTGCCGCCGACGCTCACACACCCTCGGCTCCTCAGCCCTCCTACAATGGCACACCTGGACACAATCCAGACGCCTGACGCGACACCGGCTGCGCCAGTGGGAGGAGACCTTGGCGGCCACACGCCTGCATGAGGGCCTGGTGAGGTGGCACCACTACGCCATGCTGCGGCGGGCTGCGCGTCGTGTGTCTGAGGCGGTGGTCATGTCGGTGCGGGGACAACGGTTGCGGGACGCCATACACAAATGGGCACAGTGGACCGGTGAGTGAGTGAGAGGGACTGAGGGAGGGAGGGAGGGAGGGAGGGGAAGGTAGGCTTACCTTCGTTCACATACATGTGTCGTCTTGTTTTGTGTCGTCTTGTCTGTCTGTCTATGGCATACAGTCCATCGCAGGGGCACCATGGACACGCGGGGCGAGCCGGGGGAGGTGGAGGGGGCCAGGGTGGTCGCCGGGCAGGTGACGGAGGAGCCACGGCAGGACCGTCAGCTGGAGCGGTCGGAGGGGCCCGTGATTAGGACGGGTGCGTTCGTTGCGGAGCGGCCCGACATCGGCATGGGGAGGAAGGTGGAGCGACCCATAGAGGACCACCGCAGCAGCATCCAGTCCACACCCGGACCAGACGGATCATCCACCCAGACCGAGGCCGACCGACACAAACGCGCTGGCCTTGGTGCAGGCGCCGCCATCTCGGCCCCCACAGCCCCGCGTGTGGAGCTCGATGACGCCCCCCTTCCCGGCCAGACC